GGCCAGTTTTTACAAAGGCACCTGAGAACAGGCAATGACAATTTAGGGTTTGGGGGTTTATTTTGTTTTTTTTCACTGTAATCATCTCTTTGTTTTATGCTGCAAGAAGCCGATGCTCTAATTCTAACTTGTTTGCTCAAAATAACTTGGGAGTTCTAGATCTTTATTTTAGGTTTATCACTTATTTGCACTTCAAAAGCAAGGACAATGTGCAGACCTATTTTACTGTTAAATAGGGAGTCATCATCTTCTGCAGAATAGCCTTGAAATCCTACTTTAATTAACAACATGTTGTTTATGAATACAAAATTGTTTCTTTGCTCTATCTCAGTCCCTCTGTTTCATTTTGTTTGAGGGAAAATCGGTTTGAAATCAAATTTATATCTTAGGATGTGTTAGAAATTTTCAGCTTTGTCTGTCTTAAAATTATTTATATATGTTGCTTACAGTGCTGTTCCATCCCTATTTAATACACGCGTCTCAAGTGTTTGAAACCAAGTACAGCTGCACAAGATTCTATTCACTGGGCTTTCTTTGAAGCCAAAATGTGAAAGAAATTTCTCTGACAATACAATAAAGCAAAGCAGAAGCAGCGGGAAATTTAGAAAGGTAAAGGAGATAGCAGCAGTTGAACCATGGCAATTCTGTTGCTGTCCTAAGCCAAAATCTTGCCTTTTTATACCCGGATTAAGCCCAGAGACTCAGGCCTTTGAAGATCATCCATAAATATTCAGGCCCAAGAGACTGGTATGAACTAGAAGCATCAGTCCCTATAGATGCAGGAATTGTCATGGAAATTATTATGGGTAAAGGAATTTCCACAATTGTAGATCTGTTATTTAAACCGGTGAGAACTTAATGCCATATTAAGTGACTGTAGAAAAGTTGTCATAACTGAACACCTGAAAGAACATATTTATAGCCCTGTACAATGATTAAAATCAAGGGAAAATGTGACAGGAGGAGAATGTTAAACAGACAAATCACCTAATGACATTATCTGAGAAATCAAGTCCTTTGGGCTGTCTAGATCACTCCAAACTTGCAAAACAAAACTAAGCAGCAGTCCCCAAGTTGAGAGAAAAGGTGAGCTCCAACGGACTGTTACAGAAGCAAGGGAAATTATACTACACTGTGGCCAGGTAATCCCTTTCCGTGATGTTTCTCAGTAAGTTCTTCTGAAGTCAGACAGTACATATTGTGTTTTTCTGAGCTGTTCTGGGAACACTTTTTTACCATTTCTTTTCTAGCTGTATCTTCTCGATTATGTCGGTTGATAACTGATGATGTGAATAATCATGTAAGGAATGATGGCTTCTCCAATCAAGTTACTTTAACTCTCTCCTCTTGGAGCAATGTTTAGTTCTTTCCATAGGAATATGCTGTCAGTAATAATTAAAATAATATTTTCTTTAGTTTTCATCAAAATCTCAGTGTTTTATGAATTTCTTTTTAACTTTCCACTTGTGGCTAGTTAATCAATACCCCTTTTTGGGGAAAGGGGCGACTAAGGCATACAGAAATGAAATTATGGAGGTAGCACAGCGTGGCATTGACAGGAGCCAGGAATAGAATTCCAGCTTACTGCCTAAGTGACTTCCAATGACAGAAATAGATACACCCTTTAGGCAAAATACAAATGTATAAAAATATTTGGAACTTGACAGCCTGGAAATATTGCATGCTTCTGCAGATGTGTCATTCCAGTATGTCAGATAAAAATATCTGTGTGATTGAAAGGGGTAGTCACAGGAGATAGCTTACATATTATTACATTGTATAGAACCCTGTAAGTATTTTTAATGTTTGATTTTAACTGGACATTAGGTACTTCAGTATTTCTCAGGTGTCCTTGGGCCTTTTTATGTATGGCTAACATTAAACCCCAAGCTCTTCACAAAAACTTTAAAATATGGCACACAAGAAGTGTGTCAATATTATGAAACAGAATTGCACTAATAAATTGCATTGGTCTTTAACTTATGATTATTTCTACTGTATTTGCATGGTATTTCTGTGCTAAAAGACCAAGTCCCTGGAAGCGTGGGGTTTTTTAATGTAAGACAAATTATCAGCACCATACCAGAATCTGCCCAGACAGGATATTTAGGTGCCATGTTTCACTGTAGCTGCTGGAGTGATGTGTAAGTACACAGAAGCTGAAAATAAAGTAAAAGTCTCAAGAAGGGAGAACACCCTCTTCTACCCCAACAAAAGAGTTTGAGTGAAGAGAAACACTACTCTGAGCAGCCGAAGCTGAAGAATTTGATTACATGAGTTGGCAAGAAATACGCTTTGTAAATCAAAGGAGAATCTAGAGCAATATAGCTCTACAGAAAAGACATGACGCTTAAAAAGGCCTTGACACAAAACTCCTCCTCAGAAGAGTAATGGGGATGCTGACAGACAGAATAACGTGTGGGTGTCCATGATTCTGCCGAGCTGTGAATTTTTTGTGCTCTCTGAAGTAGACCATTCTTTTCCGAATCCCCTTTTTTTTTTTTCAAAATCTTAAACTGTTTTTGTCAAGCATCAGGCCGTTTTGTAAAGATAAATGTACCCATGTGAGTGAAGCGTTAGGGAAGCATGTGTTTATTTTCTTTGGGTAGTGTGGGGCAGCTTGCAGAGGAAATCGCGTTTTCCAGAGTAAGAAAGGCTGAGAAGGAGGTACAATAGGCTGTTCAAACCAACACAGGCTAAAATTGCCATGGTTTCACAGAGCAGTTCTGTGATTATACAGAGGGTTCGTAGCAGAGTGGTGATAGCCTGCAAGAACAGTATTGAGCAAAATTAGGTTTCTTGAACCTGACATGATTTGATGACACTCAGGATTTCACAGATCAGACCCCTAATTGAGCTGGCAAGATTAGCTGAGCTAACGTTAGAAGATGAGATCAAACTGTGCCCTAGAAGACTGGAAAGCAGCTCATCTGAGTGTGTGGGAGGGTGCAGTAGAACGACACAGCACCCTTGGAAGTCCGTCCACTTCCAGTGCCACAGGCACTGTAGCAGTTAAAACTGCAGTGTCCCACTGAGCACAGGCCAAATAAGAACAAAAGGACTTGGCAAGGTGTAACATCATGTGTGAATTACTTCATTCCCGTGATCACATCAACATTACAGAGGAATGTTAGGTGGATGAAAAGAAGATATTCCTAGGTTTTCACAAATAAGTTTTCCTTGTGGAACACTATAATCATAGCAAAGGGTTTCGACCTAGCCAGGCAAGTTGTTGCCCTGATGAAGCAGTGTGATGGGTTGGACTATTGCTGAGTGGCTTAAATAGGATTCCCTGTCATCCACCTGCCAAAAGCTGAACTTTACCTCTCTCCCTTTCCAAAATTCTAAACAGAATTTAGCCATTACAATTTTTTTCCATGCTGTTGAGACCAAAATTCATTTCAGTGACTATGAATGGCCACCTAAGGAACAGTGTAACAGAGCTGGGAAGAAGTAACGCTCCTTTCTGTGTTCCCCCAGCCTCCGGTGACCAACGACCTTTAGTAGTCCTCTGTTTTTGTCTTTGGTGTGTCTGATCACGTTTGAGCCAGTGTAAAACTCCAGCATTCACAGCATCCTGTAGAAACGAGTTGCACACCTGAGCAAGACGAGCATAAAAATAATTTTTGGTGCTCTCCAGTGCTTGTATGAGAAATAGTGAACGATAAGTCTCTCATCACCACAGTACTTTTGATTTTATGGATTCTAGTATATCCCTCCTCAGTCGCCGTGTCCCCTGATTAAAGAAACCAGGTCTCGGGCACAATCCATTAGATGTGTTTGATCATTCTTTTGTCACATTTATTTTCTTGTTTTCTTCTCTCTTTTTTTTACTTTTTGCATTTATTATTTTGAGATGGGAAGCTAGAACACCACACAGACTCCAACACAAAGATGCAACATTCCTTTGATAGTAACATGGATATCCTGTGGTCTCTCAATCTTTTGCTAATAATTCTAATTACCTTATTACTGCTTTTTCTGATGCTACTAAATGCTAAGATCCTGGGGGATTTGTGGACCTGTCTGTTTTAACTATTAGATCTTCCTGACTGGGACTAATAACCAGTTGACACTCATTGTGTGTGGGCAGTTAGGATTGTTTTTTCCTTGTGTTCCCTCTTTCAGGTGTCACTCACACTGTTTCCCGTAGAAATATTTCAACTTAAAACTTTTTAAAATGTTACCTGTGAAGCAGAGGAATATGGATCACTTGTTTTCAAAATTGTGAATAGAACAAAACTGAATTACTTAAATAAACTTTATGAATATTTAGAGTTACAGTTGATTTTTATTTTACAGATGTGCTGTGCTGGAAAGTCAGACAAAGAAATTGGCTTTAGAAAAGTGACTTAATCTTGCTGCGTTAATAACGAGCATAAATAGGTGCTGCCTTTCGAGGTGGAGGGATAATGTTCACACTCTTCCTCTTGGAAGAAATAACGGTGTATTAACTCAGCATTGAAGGTGTTTTTATAATCAGGCTGAGGAGGAAGACGGGCAGGGTTCTCATCTTCCCCTCACCACCTGTGTGAAAACCAAAAACTGCATGGGATGTCTTTTAATTGGGAAGATGCAGTGGCAGCTCCTAACTGAGCTCTTGCAGCTGTCAAACCCGTGAGGGGGAGGCAATATCACTCTTGTAAATGATTCGGTTGTGTCACATTCGAGGTAAAATTGTGTTTGAAAGAATTGTTCTCTGTCTTTTCTCAAGGACACAGTGCAGCAGAGGATCAGAGGTTATATTGTCTGCATTTTTCAATGGAGATCAAGAGTTTGGTTTTTTTTTTACAATCAGGCTTACTTTTTTTTTAGCGTATAGCAGACTCTAAATAACATGCCATTGCACAGAATGTCATCTGCTGTGTTCAGGTGTGTGTGAACCTCACTTCTTGTAGTGTGTTCAGCGTTTAAGTGTGTTTCCGTCGTTATAACACATGGTTGGAACAGATTCCTGGAGATTACATTCATTTATCTGTCTCATTACTTTTCTTTTTCAGGGTCTTCTTGAGAGCCATCAACAAATTTGCAGAGACCATGAACCAGAAATTTCTGGAGAATATGAATTTTGAAGTCCAAGTAAGTGTTTAGGTTTTTAGGGAGTTGAGGTAGTGACCTGTCAGAGCCCCTCCTGGTACTTTAGATCAGTATCCAAATGACTTTTTATTTGAGCTTGGCAGGATTAGGCCATCTTTGGTATGACGTGAAAGTCGCACTTTGATTATTTATGATAAGGCACCCAAACAGAGTATTTTGTACTGTGATTCTGTCACGACTGGCAAGCAGGAAACGTTTTTCCTTTTTTCTCTTAGCCAACCAAGTGTATTCGGAAAGGCAATCTTTGATGTAACGCATGGAGCCTTTCCAGTGTCACTCCTGTGTATGTAGGGCAGAAAGAGCTTAACTTTGGTTGATTCCTAGAGTGTTTCTCACTTAGAATTTATTTTTATTTTTAACTGGTAGTCTTCCCTGATAAGCCTATAATTATTTATTTATTTTCCTTTATTTTTTGTAGTTCTTTCTGAAATAATTTAAAATTAGGGTGGTGTTATTTTTTTTTAGGTTTCTCAATGTTATTTTTCATAACCTAACTAATTGGTCATGCATTTTAGCATATGTTGGGCTTGGTTCAGATAAAAATGAAAATGTCTGTAGTTTCACATTCATTGAATTGCTGTTAGAATGTAAATACAGTTTTAGAACCAGGTTTTGTCACTAAGTGCTGCCTGATCATAGTGTGTTCTATAGACAGGAAACACCCCAGCAAAGTATAGTATGAAAAACTGTTCTATTTCACTCTTATATTAACTCAGTTAAGAGCAAACTTTTTACATTCAGAAATGCTTCCTGATTACAAAAATCTAACCTGTTCATTAAATAATAATTTACTGACCCGAACAGAGGAGTTCAGAGAAACTGAGCTTTGCATTCTTGGTTTCTTGGGGTTTATATTTTGTGGTTAATCTTGCCACTTGCAGACTGGTTTAGGTGATTCTTTTCTCCTGCAAGTGAATGTGTAGGCTGACTGTGGAACAAACTGAGTATTGGTCTCTCAACTCTTACGTACAATGCCTTGGTCACAAACAGCTGCAGGGCTGTCAGGTAAGTGGTTTCACAGGGAGAGTTTAAAGACAGAAATAGGAAGAAAGGTGAAACATTCAGTTCACACTCAGTAACAATGGCTTTCACGTATGAAACGGAGAGTCTTTTCCCCATTTAACTCGTTGAATTTTTGTACCCGCAGAAGGTGTGACTTTACAAACGTAGATATGTATGATGTTAATTAAAGTTTTCGAATTACAGAGAAAGATGTTTCTTCTGACAAACGTGGTTTCTTTTTAGTAAATATCCCTGCTGGAAACTCTCACATCCTTGACATATGATATAATGTCTCTTAGGCTATTTCAATTTATCAACAACCATTTTGTAACCTATCATTTCAACAGCACTTGATCATGTTTGCTGCACAACGTGTCAGTAATTTTTAAAAGCAAATAGAATAGGTCTGGTGGACATCAGTATGTGTAGGCTACCAAAACCATGCAGACTACTATAAATACTCTGTACCTGCCAACATGTTATTAAGGTGTACACTGCCTCTTTCATATGTTAAAGCCGCAGCCTAAACCTGGAACTGTTATTTCAGATCGGTTTCCTGTGGCAATTCTGTGCGTTCCAGAATGTTATCAAACAACCAGGGCTGTTGTAGTTCAACACGGAGCATGTAGTTCAAGGGAATGTATTCATGCTTCTCTTTTATTCATGACTTGTCAAATATCTGTAGGCTTTGAGCAAACTAAACAACGTTATAGTGAATAAGTAGTCTCATCTAAAGAATTGCAGTACCCTTGTAGTTTTCACGAGACAATTAAAAGTCAGGGAGATAGATTCTACTGCCCCACGCCCCCGAATAAAAGCTCTGAAAAGCTTTTATTCTAACAGTACCCTAAATATACCTATTTAAAAAGCTACTACTGAACTAAAAAAGGTCTGAAAAATGCAAAGCATTTTGTTTATCTTAATTAAATTTAAAATTTTATATACTACTATTATGTAGACTTATTCAGTTCATTGATAGCTGAGTATTTTAATGTTTTAAATATTCTTCTATTGTTTTTGCATATTTACATGGTTGGTGTTTTTTTTAAATCTCTATATCAGACAGTAGTCTGTCGTTCCTAAACGTAGTATATTTTCCTTAAAGTTACAAAATTTTCTTAAAATACTTTCAAGCACTGAGGCCTACTGTGCAGGAACAAAAAGAGTAAGGAGTGGAAGGAGAAATAACTTCAACTAATTTTTCTAATAAAATGTTGTCATTTGAAGTCACAGCTTAATTCTTCCTACTCTGCAGTGCAAATCCATGTCTATTTGTCCTGTGCTTTCTGGCTGTTGGAATTTTGGTCCTGGAGGTGTAGTTTTTCATGTGGGTTGCACTTACTTGAATTGTTTGCTGACAGCATAGACACCAAAGTCACTTGCTGTTGTCCAAGAAAACTTTCTGCATCACTAGAAAATAAACAAATCCCAAGAAAGAGAGACAATTTGTTTTTATATCAACATATCTTGGCTCAGTTTTTGGAGTATTTTCTGTTAATAAACAAATGAGCAATCCTTCTGTGTGCACCTGTTGCAGTGCTTGTGGTTTTATTTTTTCAATTAGGGTATTAACAGGCTAATACCATAAAGTAGCTTTTGTTTGAGCAGCTGCTTTGCAAAAGAGAACTCTGAATCAAGCTTACTGCCATTATTATTTATCCATTGCTTCATTGTTAGGCTTTTTGGATACGGAATAGTGATGAGAATGAAAGCAAAACTCTGAGATGCAGTTTCCTTCAAAAGCAAACAAATCTTTGGGATTCCTTTGAGATGTCTGCATTTAAAAGAAATTTAGGAGTTTTAGAGGAACGGTTGCTTTAATAAAAACAAGCAATAGGTTCATGTTCCACAGAGAATGTAGGCATTTGCAAAGCCCATACAGTAAGGCTGCAGGTGGAAGCACATGCTGGTATGTTATTTCTTTAGTATTCACTTCAGGCTATTTGATAATAAATGCATAGGGCACCAGAAGTATCAGTGGGGGAAAACTGTCAGCTGATGGAAGCTGAGACGTCATTGAGATGCATTCGAAACTTCTAACCAGCTTTGAATCTCTCTGTGTAGCTATATTTCTGTGTCTCTTTGCATGCATGTAGAAAAATTAAGAATGGGAGACAAAAAACTTGCTTTTGTTATTTTGATCTGGGAGAAAATCTGCAAGTGGCATAACTTTGTCAAGAGCTCCAGCGTGATGACCCCATGGCCTGTCCGTTGCCATAGCCAGCCCATGGAGCAAGGGCAGCCCCCATCCATCCCTATCCTCAGATGGTTTTGGCCAGGTCCTGAGACTACCAGGGGATGAGCTGAGCATGCAGGAAAAAGAGCCACGGGACACACGGATGGCTTCTATGGCTGTCAGCAGTGGGCAGGTGCTGACTACAGTCCATGTAGGATATGCTTCCTGAAACCAGAAGGGAGGCAGTGCATGCCATGGAGGGCAACTTCAGCTCTGTACCTAGGACTCCTTTTTCAAATTCCAGAAAACAAATCTGATCTTGAAATGTGTTTCTGCTGTCACCCAACCTGACAGGTTTTAGTGAGCTCGTGCAATGCTCTTTACAAATAACTCTCTCTGTTATTATTATTCAAATCACTTGATGTGAATAGGAGTTGTGCATCTAAATTTCATCTGACTACCGGGGATATACAGAGAGAACAATGTCTCAAGAATTTGGAAGCTAAAACAGAGAAAACTGGTTTAATATTCCTGATTAAGGGTAATTTAAACTATAGAAATAGGATGTATTTGGGTGGGGAAAAGAGGGATGCATATTGATGAAGATTTTTAAAATAGTAGTTACATCTTTAAGTTCTTTCTAAAGGAATGAATGATTTACAGTGTTTGTAGGATGGTGTTTTCAAATCTGATTATTAACAAATAGCTGAAGAGAAGTCTTAATTAAAAAAAATAAATTTTAAAAAGCAGTCTGAAGCACAGTGAAGTAGATCTGAAGATTTTTCACTTGCCTGGGTGATTACATGACAGTGTAGAGCAGACAACCTAATCAAACAAAACAAGTAGACTGTGGAGTAATTGAGCAACTAAAAAAGGACATTCTAAATCTAAAGAAAGGAAAGCACTGAAAAAATTTTGCTACTCTGTTGAAGGTTGTTAAGTGGAGGTAAAAAGGTTCCTGGCCTTTTTCTTGTTTGCAAAGTAAAATTGATTTTTTCACTCATTAGGAAAGAAGGGGTATCCTTTAGGACCCGGGCAAGGATGTGCTATTTGTGGTGAACAGGGGTTACAGTCTTTAAGTTTAAAACTGTGCAAAAACATAAAGCCACAGGTGCAGTGGTGAAGCTGTTACGGACCTCAGGGAGGAGTACCAGAGTGTGCACAGCGCAGCAGTGGTGGCCTGTGAAATATTCCCTTAGTATGCGATAAGTTCGGTTCACGGAGTCCATCTACGTAAAGAGGCTTTTTTTAAATTCCAGTGCTTTGATGCTGAGATTGTCATTGCAGCGGTCAGTCAGGAAGTGCCAGAGCTGCTGGCTGGGTTGGGAATCATTACTCTCAAAGGTAGTTAAATAGCTACCTGGTGGCAGAGAATATATGCCTGCTGGGTGAGGAGGTGGTTCTCTCTGGGGTTTTTTGAGTTTTGCACGCAGAGTTTACATGCTGGAGCTATTCGGATGTTCGTCAGGACTCTCAGAAAACAGGCCACAGTTAGAGACCTGCCCACGCCAGGTGTTCTCCAGTGTCATCCTACAGCAAAACCTACAGCTATGAAGGACTGGCTGAAAGGTACTCGTCACTGAACAGTTGCTGTTGTGCTGATAAGATAAAATTGTTAGCTCGAGAGCAAATAACTGTACAGGAGAGAAGGGAGTGAGTTTTCATTAAGTGGTTGACCAGAAATAAACCATGAAGCAAGAATGAATGAGGACTCAACAATATTCATGGTACCTCAAGCCTATGAATGGATACAGTACCAACAGGAAAGAATCATGCAGAATATTTTAGTGTACGTTCTTCAGTA